TGTGATTTCGGCCGAAAATGATGATTTCTACCAAAAACACCAGATTTCTGCCGAAAATAGTTGATTTCGGCTGAAAACGAGATTTCTGCCAAAAACTAAACACGCTCCACCGAAAATACCAACAGAGTCTCCAACAGAAAACGCCCAGTAATAACGATTGCAAACAGATTTTCGATTCCTTTCTTTGAATCCTCGATGACCACCAAGAACACAACAACAACAATGAACAATTTCGAACAATAAACTCAAAACAGTTTTCGATCCAAGGATTAAATCAATGAAAACAGTCCAAATTCAAGCTTCTTGAACACGGTTTGACACTAGATTGGCTCTGATACCAATTGTAAGTCCCAAACTAAGAACCAACTAGTGATCAAACAATATCAATGAATCAAAACAAAATGAATCAAGAAGAAGAAGAACCGAAATCACTCCAAATGCACACGATTGAAATGAATTAATCGTCTGGTACAATGGACTCTATCACAATGTAATGGCTGAAAACTGCTAACCAGAAAACGGACATCACAAGTCTATTTATAGGGAACATAACAAATACAAGCCCACCCAAAACCGAGAACACCAATGGACCAAAATCAATGTTGATTTCGGTCCACCCAACCGAAAACATAAACTAAGCCCAACCAATACAATTGCAAAGCCTATAATGTATATGCCTAGCACAAACAAACTAATTAGGTCCTAACACAAAAAGAGTATAATATTTGTATAAAAAATATATATGTATTTTTTTAAAAAAAAGTGAAAGGAAATGAAATGTAACAATTTCCTTGGTTTTGAAAAGTGAAAGGAGATTGAGTGAAAAGTTGATGTGATAGAAAAAATAAAAAGGAAAAGTAAATACATCATTGGGTCTAATAGTGAAAATAAATGGACGATTAATTGTGTTTTTATCTTGTTTATACTTCAAAGTCAATGCATGACCAACAATTGTGTATATGCTTTCTTTTAATCATTTAGTTATTTTCAAAAGTTCTATATGTTCAAATACATATGGATGTCGTTACTCGTTACTTTGAAATTGGGAGCTTTTAGGTTTTTGTCAAAAGCCTTAATCGGAGAAAGGTCGACAACCAGGGAATGGAGGGATGAGGTTTGTGGACCACTATAAAATAATAATAATAGCTATATTAATAATAAATGAAAGATTTAGGGTAAAAGAAAAATAGCCAATTGATAATGATTTATTACCTTCTAACAAAGTTAAATAAAGGGATTAAAACCAAAAAACGGCCCTTAAAAAGATACAAACTTACCGATCATATTTAAAATTTACTCAAATTAATATTTCCATTCAAAGCACCAACGACAATCTCACTTTGTTTAAGCTCTTGCAAGTCGACAATAAGTAGGGAATTGATTATTAAAATAGTGAATAATGGAAAAAGATCCATGAAAGAATTATGAAACATGGTGCATGTTTTTGAAGCTCAAAATATAAGCATGATCCACGTTTTAAATAATTCTTTCGTAATGCATTAATAAATTAGTTGTGAGACTCATATATTACATGAGTTGACTAAAAAAAATATCAAGACGTAAACATTAATTTTTTTTTTAAAGTAAAGTTTTGAAATAAATACAAATGAAAATAATTAATAAGTAAGTAATTCAATCTATACTAATAAAAACATATTGACATATTTTAAATAATTGTCCTGAATCATAAATTTCCAAAAACTTCTTTGAATACAACATTAGATGTCATATTGTTAAGTTTACATTCATTATCTAAAATGAATATTTTTAATTCATCTTTATTTTTTATTCTTTACAATGCAACATACAATTGCTCATGAGTGAACATTAGTTGTTTAAAAAAAACATCGCCTTTAATAGTGAATGTCTTTGACTTTTACTTCCTCCGTCCCAAATTAACAGTCCATGTTTCCTTTTTTGGTTTATCCCAAAATAATAGTCTACTTCTAAAAATAAATATCTCTCTTACCAAAATACCCCTCATCTACCATGACATTAAATGCAACAAAATGATGAAACTAAATGCAACAAAAAGATACAATTGTCATTTCATTTAATAAAGTTAATGATAATTAATGTTTTCTTAATTTGTATGTTTTTTGTCTGTGGACAATAATTTTGGGATGGATGGAGTATTAATTTTCATCACAAAACATAAAGCAAGTGGAAAGACATTTTTTTGAATAAACATACGGTCAAAGACATTTGTGGAATAAACGTAAAGTTTTTAACAAATGACATGTGTCAAATTGAATAAGATGTTGACATTTGATAAAAACGATCTTGATATATTAAGGTAGATTCTAATTTGATGAATCATCTTATCTTTATTTTGAGATGTTATATAAGTGTTTCAGACTAAAACTAAACTTTTAAAATTCAAAATTAATGAAATTAAGGTCCTAAAATGAAAATGACAATGTCCAAATACAACATGCCTCATATCAAAGAATTAAAAAGCCGTTATGCAATTTATCACCACCAAGTATTGCATTATCAGTTCATTAATATCGAAAATTGAACACGAGATTAGATAACTTATCATCGAAAATGTAAGAGGACATTTGAAAACTAACCATATTTAAATAACTTAAATGTAGTTTGATTAAATTTAGGATGCTTAAATTGGAAGGGGTCCATGCTTAAATATAATTATCAAAATGTGCATTTTAATGAAGATGAAAAATACAAGAAACGATATGTGGAATATTAATTACTTTAAATTCTAAGAAAATAATATGTATCAAATTGAATGAGAAGTTGACATTTGACAAAATAGATATTAATTTATTAGGATAGATTTAATCCATCTACAACCATAATCTTGATCCTGGGGAAACCAATTCTAGTGCACTTTTGAAACAATTTGTAATTTAGATCGTGTATATGTTGTAATTTAAACTTCCTAAATTAATTTTATTTTAATCATATGTTTCTATTAAATGCTAACGAGACCTTGATGTACAGACAACAATCTTTTACTATATCAAATAAAACTTTATATATAAAATTTAATAAAAGGGATTAAAATAAGATAACATATAAATACATATAATTAGATCATACAATACAGTCACGTAATGAAGGGCGTAGGGTGATGTGGGACCCCCTCCTTATGCATAAAGACAATTTCCAAGCACTGTAATCATGGTGTGGTGTGATACTGGCTACAATGGCAAGGAGATAGAGTACTTCCTCTTTCTCTTTCTCTCTCCTTCCCTGTATTTTCTCTCTATCTCTCTTCTTTCATTTTTTAGAATATATATATATATATATATATATATATATATATATATATATATATATAAAAGTGGTGAGTGGAGTAAAATTTATTTTCTAGGTTCAGTGGTGTTATAGGAGGGATACAGTGAAAATAAGATGGTTGTAAGAACCTTGTGGAGTATACGTATATTATATTATGGCTCGACATCATTGTGCACAGGAATACGACGGTGAGGTAAACTATAATCTTCCTCCGACCACCACCTGTTTTGTCTACCACCACCACCACCACTACCACTCATTCTTTTTTCTGCAATTTAAAAAGGACCGTGTAATATTAAACAATTATAATCAGATGACTATATATATAATTAAAAATGTTAGAAAAGCCTTTACATATTGATTTTTTTTTTTAATGGAAACGTCATCATAAATAAGAATTTTCCATTAAAGCTGTTTTAGATTGTATAGTTTTCATTAGCCATCTTAGAATTTTAACCATCTTAGATTTTAACCATTTAATATGAGGATAAAAACAAAACGCAAAAGCTCCTATAGTTGAATAATTCATATCGTTTTACGGACTTTTTTCATAAAAGAAATCCAAAATATACAAATTTTTCTATCAGTTATTCAGTTATTCTAATATTGAATGGTTAAAAATCATGAAACGGTTTTCATTGAAAACTTAAAAATCTTCAATGATTTTTTGTAGAAAACTTTTTTTTACAATGACTTTTCCAAAAAAAAAAAAACATCTAAAATATAAGAGTTTTTATAGGCATATATATGCCCTAGAGATGGTAATATCGACATGTTTACTACTTTAAGTTGTAATAATCGCTTACTTTTTGTAGCAAGTTTGTGGCAAAATTGTGATTATTTTTTATTTAACTCTTATATATCACATAACCACAAAGATGACAATTTCGACACATTTACCTGTAAAATCATGACGCAGCACATGATCCATAGCAGCAATATTTTGACATGTGTGAGACATCAAACAGAGACATGTGATTATGGCTATCTTGAAAACCTTCTCCATGCAAACCTAAACCTAAATTCTGTGTTTTTTTGATGTGTTTAATGATGTGGCTATTTGTATAGGAGGTATGTCCACTGTTTGGAACATGCTAGCCTAGCTACTTCCAATAACCTCGGTTAAAGAACCAAAATTAGTGTGGTTAAATTAAAGTTGTGAGAAATTTCTGAAGTTTGAATCTTTTTGTATAATAAATTGATAATTTAAGCTCTAGAACGTTGGGTTGCTGTGTTTCTTTTTGTTCTTTCTGCGTCTTCGTAATACAGCCAAAAATAGTTGTTTAGTACTTCGATGTTCACTTGATTAAAAAAAAAAAAAAAACAAACATTTCCCCATTTTCAAAGATACTAGTAATATATAAGATCATAACTTTGCTTTATAATATAAATCTCGATTAAGTTCTAAGTTCTATACGAGTACAGTGACTGTATAGTATAAGTAATGAGATAAAATGATGTATACATAATGTTTTATTTATTTATTAGACTGAATATATATTAATACCAAAAAACAAATTTAACGATATACATCGATTTTTGGAAAGTTGGAGAGGAAAAAAAATGACGAATAAGTAAAGAGTTTATTTCATAATATATTAAGCAAAGGTTTTTTTTGGCTCAACTCATTAAGTCAAAAAGAAACAATCATATATAATATTATATATTCTAGACTAAATGATTCTAAGTCGAAAACAACAATTATTATGGAAATGCAAAAACATTATAGAGAAAATATTCAGGAAAAATTCTCAAATATACTTTGAATATCAATGCTCCAAGTCTTCTTAAAAAATTACATACTTTGAATAAAAACGGGGAAAAACTCAACCCAGAAAATATAAAAAAAAAATCTCAAGGGGCTCTGTCAAATGGCTTTGTATCATTATAACAAGTCTCCCACACAGCTTCCATTGCATCCTTAGCAGCTGCTTCTGAACAATATGGATTGTTGGCTAATGACTTCATTACCCTTCTCCTCACACACTCCTTCATATATCAAATAAAAATAAAAACAGGGTAATTTTTTGAAAATTTAATAAGCAGATATTAATTACTACTAAAAAATAAACTTACTTGTTCATGGCCTCTTATTTTGACAAAACCTCGCAAGAGTTCCCTTTTATAGTGGCAATCACCACTGAGATGCCCAGCTCGAATCTGTTTATAAGATAGAAACAAGGGCAAAAAAGGAATAAGATTTTTAATGGACTGATTAAGATTTAAGAAAAAAGATAAGAAGGTTGATGATAACTGATAAGGATTCAGACCTCACTACAAGCATGATGAGCACAATTAGTCCAATCCAAATTTGCAGCTCGACAGTCATCATATGCATGAATTAGTTCATGGATAACCACTTGATTAACCTCATCTTGAATGTTCATGTAATTGCTACATACCACTATCTACAAATTGCAGCATATATGTGTTTCAACTGTGTAAATCAAAAGGAACAATTAGGGTAATCTAATGGATATGAAATGATTATTATTACCCCTTCTCCGCGAACATAACCACCACTCATCTTTTGGTCGCAATTAACAGCCTTGATAAAATTGGACGCGATATTACATCCACTTTTCTCCAAATGCTCCCGTAAAAACTTCACCGATGGAGCTGATATTTATGGCGGATTCAGTGATTACGATGCAAAAATTTATAAACCCTAAACACTAAGAATCTGAAAAAGGTTATGCGGAATTACTTCTAAGGCTTCTTTGGATCATAGTTTCGCACTCCTCCACCGTCATGCCGTCCTTAGCGGCGGACGAGAAGCTGTTGCCGGAGGGGGGTGCAGAATTGGAATCGGATCCTGCTGCCATTTTGTTGGTGCGGCGATTACGATAACTGCGGGTTTGGCCGTTGAGATGCAGACGCCGGGTCCAGTCGGGTTAGATCCGGTTGCAAGCGGGCCTTATGTTGGGCCAGTTTACTTAGGACTTATGAGAAGCTTTTCTACTTGGGAACAAAGATTGGAATCAGTAACAAAAGAATTACACCAACCAAAGACCCCTACTGCCAGAAATATGAGACGAAGAATACCTGTTTGACGAGAAGACGAAGGCGAGATGGACTGTTCTTGGTTAGAACTACGATGCAACAGAAGACAACTAGCTTTAACTATACGATAATCTGATGCATTGAGAAAAATTGCTCCAATTATATAACGTACGTCGATTTTAAGGAGGAATAAAATTACAAGACGTCACTGATTTGGGGGATTTGAGGAAGGAAGAGAGAAATCAAATTTGGAGAATGAATAGCAATCGGGAAAAAAGATACAGGGAAAATTTTGATCTCTGAAAGCATAGATTTTGGGCTTAACCAGGTAAGCCCAATTAACTTAAAAGGTACAAGGGTAACTAATATTTAGTTTTTAGCATCGATAAACTCTTATAAAGGAAAAAATAAAAATATGGTCACAAGTGAAAAAAGATATTGGCCTTTAGATAAAAAAAACACTTAAATTAAGCAGATAATTTGACGGTTATAGAAGGTTATGAAACGGTTAGTCTCTTACGAATCACAGTAATCAGATGAATTTAATCCAATGACTACATATTACGATTATCACAATTTTTGTATTTTCTTGTTGGATCTACATCCTACCATCAATTTTATTTGAGACACTATATTCAATTTCAACATGATTTCTAAATAATTTCATCTATTTTTTAATTACTTAACAATCAACTTGTAGTTTTAAGTACAAATTTAAATCACCAAATGTATGTTATACTTTGGTGTTTTGTCAAGTTTAGCTTATCCCAAGTTATCACTTAGGAGCCAATATGAAATCTTCCTAGACCTGCACAAAAAGACCGGTCTCGGACCGAACCCAAAAAAATACCGAGACCGAACCGGTCTAAAACGAGACCGGACCGAAAAAGACCGGACCGAAAAAAGACCGGCTTGAGACCGTCCCGGACCGGTCCGAAAAGACCGGACCGTTCGGAGACCGGTCCTAAAAAAGACCGGACCGGTCTGGAAAAATAGACTTGTAAGCAAACTTTATAAATATATAATTTTTGTGTTAATTATACAATTTTTAATCACAAACTATCTAATTTATTTCATTTTTTCTTTTATAAAATTTAAATTATCATTTTTAATAAATCTTAATTTATTATTTTTATGACAATCTCATATTTATTAATGGAAAAAACTCGAAACCAAAACAAAAGAATCGAAAAATATCGAAACAGAACAAAAAAACTCGTAAATCGAACCGAAAAAGACATATGGAAAGACCGAGAGACGAGACCGAAAAAGACCGGTCCAAAAAACGACCGGATGGGAAAAAGACCGAATGGGACCGGTCTGAAAAAAGACCGGACCGTTTCGAGACCGACCCAAGATCGGTCTGAGACCGCAAATGTGCAGGTCTAAATCTTCCTCTCTTTATAAGGTTATAAGGCTTTTTTAGTACTTTTATTTATCAAACGGGCTAAAGACTCTAGGAAGGTGGGCTTCACGTTTGCTTCATGGCTTTGACTCTATAGTCGGCTAATTTGACATTCAACACAGTCCATAAAACCTCATCATATTCTCTCCTCTCTTTTTATTTTATTTTTATTTTTGTTTTTATTTTTGTTTTTATTTATTATTTTTATTATTTTTATTTATTTATTTTTTATTTTTTATTTTTTTATGAAAGCATAAAATAGTTCGACAGATTTCAAGTTCTCATGCATAGAACTTGATTCTTGATAGTTATATCATCTAAGATATAAGTCCGATACTATTGCTAGAATAGGGACGGAATTTTGTTTTATGAAATTCCTTTGCAAGCCTCTATTAAATTGTTTTCTGCAAATCTACATCAGCATATATGTATTTTGTTTATAATTGTTGATTTTATCTTTATTAATTTCCTATAATTATATAAGCGTTATACAGTTTTTAACACTTATTCTTACATGTTACCCATTTGGACTGTAGCTAACTTAAGCTTTCTTATTTGATTAGTATATGTTTGTCAAACGAAAAAAAAGTTCGCACGCAAATTAAATTAATGTAAGATTTCTATTAAAATAAATTCATTTACATACATAAATTTTCATACGATGGGATTTCACTATCTCTATAATTCATTTGTAATCCAATTTAACCAAAAAAAATATCTGAAAATTATTGTTTGTGATTAGTTTTTTATGTTTAAAGTTATAAGAATATATAAGTGAATTGTTTCATTTCAAAACGAACTATAGCTTATTTATTTTTAATCTAGAAAAAACCAAAAATACAACTATAAATTATAAGATTATATATATATATATATATATATATATATATATATATATATATATATATATATATATATCTATATATATATATATAGTGAATATACCCTTAAGGGTATATAAACTTAGGTATCCAAACCCATCATAATACGTCGTTTTGTTTAATATATTCATTATAATGTTCTTAAACTTCAACCTCTAACTTAATTTACTTTCATGATTTTCGAAATTCCAATATTTTCTTCCTTTTACATCACATTTTTTGCCGAACACATACTAGGCTATATATATTATAGTTGAAAATGAAAATTATGTAAGAGAAAGATAAATGTGAAATTTATAAAAATCTTGGAAGTAAATCAAGTTAGAAGTTGAATCATAAGAACCTTGGACAATTATAATGTATATATGATACAAAACGACGTTGTATGGTGAGTTTAAGTACCTAAGCTTTTATATATATATATATATATATATATATAGAGTCAAGATCAAATAAGAATAAAATTTTTGGTAGGAAGGTAAGAAGTTTTTCTTCTACATATTTTTTTCGCGAACAAACAAAATGAATCATTAGATGATTCATTTGTAAGATGATTCACAAGAAAAAATTCTCAAAAAAACATCTCGATGATTCATTTATACAATGATTTTGTTGTTATTCACTAAAATTGTCATAAAAATGAATTTTTTCTTAATTTACTTAAAAATGAATGATAAAGATGTTTTTTTGGGAATTTTTTCTTGTGAATCATCTTACAAATGAATCATCTAGTGATTCATTTATTTTGTTCGTCAAAAAAATATGTTGGAAAAAAAACTTCTTACCTTCCTACCAAAAAAAAATTCTTACCGGATCTATATATATATATATATATTATATATATATATATATAATATATATATATATATATATATATATATATATATATATATATGAGAAAATTATGTCAATATTTGTGTTTTGTTTGTAAAAAAAAATATAAACTTCCTTTAATCCAACATCATATTTTACATTAAACTTTATGCTGGTGTCATAATATTTAAAACTTTAATTTGGTTTAAAGTTTAGATTGTTATTTTTTACCCTAAATTTATTGTTGAAGTTTCATTGTCATTTATGCATTCCAATTTCAGATTATTCACATAGTTTGTTTTAATTGCTTAATGTTTGAGTTTATTTATTTTGAATTAAGTTATTTTTGTTGTTATATTTTAAGTATAATAGTTAACTTTTTATTTAAACTAGCGTAGTGCCCACACTCCGTATGGATCGGAATGATTTTTGTTTTTTTTACTAAGTGTGTCTGCATAAGGTAGCAAGAAGATGATGATTTATATTGTGGAAGTTGGTACATGGTGAACAGTGGGCTACATAACAAAAGCATACATAGAATATTTAAGAGATAGATGGTATCAAAAAGATGGGAGTTGGTTCTAGGCGTCGTTTTTTATTATTTCGTACACCTCCCGGTGAGTTTTGACGCCCATCAGCTCTTTTGTAGGCCAAAAAGATGTTATATGTGGTTGGATCACTACAACCCGAAGAAACCTTTATCAATATTAAGGATTAAAGAATGGGGATATAATGTAATGAATGAAAATAGAAACAATTTCAATTAAAAGGAATAAGCATATATCCTCATAGTTAATGAAGAAAAAGGTAAATAATCATATGCATTGGCTACATGCTCTTAATACATAAAAATTAATTAGAAAACGACGGCTTTTTAAGTTTCACTTACACATCTAAGATAGAAACTTGCTCTTTCAAAAAAAAAACATCTAAGATAGAAACATATATGTTTACACTCGTGACTGAAACTTAGTCTGCTCTATTTGTATTGAAGGCTGTGATTCTCCCTACATACAAAAAACATTTTTATAGTTAAAGGCTTAGAATAAAATTATTAAATGCTCTATTTGACTGTGTTCTCTCTTTCTTTAAAAAATGAAAAACACCATCACAACGAAAACACACACAAAAAAAAGGAAGAAGAGAAAAATATATATATTTACATCAGAAGGAAAATTTGACGGTTGATATTTCTTAGTGACATAGTGAATGCATCATACATCTCGAAACCAACCATGTAACCCACTCTGCTCAAAACAAAATTAGAAAACAATAAAAACAAAAGTAGAAAAATTCATAAAAACAACTAAAGCATGTTTTAACAAAGCACAAGTACAGCAGGAACCTACAAATAGGTAACTCAAAAACATCCCTCGGGAAAGTTCCAACAGAAGAAGCATATTTTAGGCTACCCGGTATGGGAGCGTTTTCACGCGTCTTGGGCTGAGGTGGCAGCCTCCCCCACGCGTGAACCCCGCCCCTAAGTCCGGTGGGCTGCGTGTGACGTGAGGCGGAAGACGGACGAAGACGAGATCGTTGATTGGCCATTCAAAATTCGAACGTTATGCGGACCGTTTGAGCATTAAAAAAAAACTTTTTTTTTTTATTTTTTCAATTTCTCTATATATACACATCCACTTTATCTATGTTTTTTAAATTTTATTTTATTTAGACAATGTAATGTTTAATTTTACTAATTTAAGTTTTAAATTTCTATGTTTTAATTAATGAAATGTGCTTTTATTTTTTTATGTTTTAAAAAATTAATGTATGTTATAAATTACGCTTTTTAATTAATATAATGTTCAAAAAATAAAAAGAATAAAAAAAAAGAATTTGTGGAGTGGTAACCATTTACAATCTTTAGTGGGTTGGTGGTGGGTTGGGTGTGAAGCTGACGTGACGCACATGTGACAACACTTTTCCGGTGGGGTGGGTGTGACCACTCTCCATAGCCTTAATTCCAAAGTTTACAATACAAATGGATTTTTCTCTTGATTTCTCCTTAGCTGTACATCTCAATACCTAAAAGTAAGTAGACTTAACAAAAAAATATTTGATTTTCAAACTAGAGATTCACTATTGTGATTTTTTTTTCAAACAAAGAAAACCCAAGTGGCATTTCAATATCTTGCAAGTCAAAAACATTAAATTATGCTCTT